GATACAGATATATCAAAAGTGCTTTAAATATCTTAATGATGACGGTAGACCAATGGCTTATCCGTTCGCAACTTAGCTGCGTTAATCGTATCATTGTGCTGTCCCCTAAAAACTAGTTTGATTTTGACTTATTGCTATAGACTGTTCCATAGCGTTTTCCTAATAGATTTGATTTGGAACACACCACACTAACAATCCTGCCATGCGTCGTAATCCCACGAAAATTACAACACGACCCGCTTCCTAAAACACTTTGCTTCATATATATGTGTACTTACGTTTTCGAACATGCAACTTTCTATGTACTTAAAAATCGGGTTGGAATCATCGAGAGAGTACGGAATTTTGGCCGCCATTGCTAAGCGCAATGGCCATATCAAACATCTTTACCGGTCTCGTTACCACCTCGATAATTAACATCGTGTTGAACGAACTAAACTATAAATACTCGTGTCTGAAGGCAAGTGTAGTTGGAAGTGAATCATGTTGCATTTGTCGTTAGATCACGACGCATGCATCTTAAAGCATAATTATAAAGAACGATGCAGACTTGGATCGGGTAGAGTGCCAATCTGATAGTATTAGGAACACACTATAGACAAGCTCCGTATAGACAAGCCAAAATCAAAATCGCTCACAGGGAGCAGCGCAGAAATACGGCCACTGCAGATACTTCTCCACCCACCACGCTATTCCTGGAATAGTGATGAGTGAGTGAGTTGGGTTTAACGCCGCTTTTAACAGTATTTCAGGTATATCACGGCGTGTCAGCTTAATGTGGGAGGAAAGCCCCAAGTGATGCAGGTCTCAGACGTTTACCACTTCGCTGAAACCAACGAGCACGGGTATGGTGCGAAGCGAATGTGGAAGATATCCATTGTATATTTAAACCTTCAAAATGTCTAATAAATATTGGTGTAAAATATTAAAAATGTCAAATGATCGTTATGTCAAGAAATATGATAATACGATTGTACAATTGGAAAGTAACGGTTGTAAACGTTGGGCATCTAGGATGAAGCATACATTGCAGGTCTGTGTTTGGATTGTTTGGCAAGAACAGATGGGTCGAAATGAAACGTTATTTTTAATTGAATTTTTAGGTAGACTTAAAGTTTCGTGTCATCAAGATTGGCATTGTGCATTATTAAAGGGCACATGAACAGATGGATACCCGTTGTTTGAACCTATGGTGGTGTTGAACCATTTTCCCACACAGTCAACTATCAGACACATAGATGGGCTCTTGCCCAGTTTAGATCGGGTTTTTATAAACTAGGAATAGGAGCTGGTATATTGGAGAAGCAAGACATGAGGGATGATGTAATATCTGTAAACTGCTATCTATAAAGATGAATATCACTTCATACTCATTTGTAATAAATATCAAGCATTGCGACGCTTGTACTTTCCTTTAAAATGCTATGAATAGTCAACAATCCCCCAAATTAATGTGCTTATGCTAATATCAAATGCAACCATCTCAAAACGTTTATCAGTTTATAGCCTTCATTTAGTGTACATTTTCACCCTATACTTCTCAATGTGTAACCTGTGTCCTTCGCCTATATTACTTCTGAATAAACTTCTACTGAGCATTCTTGTTCAGATACACACGCTTCCGGACCGATACGTTTGAGGAAATGGGTTCTAGTGTCAACACGAATTGGGAAATCAGTACGGGTGTCACAGAAGAAAGTTAGCTCAATATTATATGAAAATGATCGAAACACCTCCGAGTCAAGAAATCATTAATTTTTCAAAGACCCTTTAGTAGATAATGGCACGTAACTTTAGGTGCAGCGATTACTACATCTAGGCTCAGTAACGTCGGGGTAAACATCACCTACAGCGGTGGCGTTAAACTTTCAAGAACCTTCGTAACTTAATTGCGTAATTAAAACCAGACGGTTCCTTGAGTCTGATTTCTTAGTTTCGTTAAGTAGCAATACATCATACTTTTAATCTGGTCTCACAGCTTAGAGTTTTATACATTCCGAACTTCTATAAGCACATGTGTTCACAAGTGAATTTAAGCGACGTTTCAGGTTTAAATTAGTATAAAAGACAATAGCGACCACCGTCGACGTCGTCGTGTACTTACTGGCGATGGGCACTTGTGGTGAGCCGTTACAGTCATCCCTGTCGGGGTCCCACTCCCAGACACAGGCTGATGCCAGTTTCGACCACACTTGGCTGGCGTTGCATCTTACAGACTGAACAATTTCGGCGTCGAAGCCGCACTGGTGGGCGACCATGCAGTCGTTTTCGTCCCTCACCCACAAGCCAGGCTGGATGTTGAGACATGCTCTCTCATCAGCGAAGTAGTCGGCTGCCAAGGCGCAAGCTACGAAGGCTACAATGAGCCCGAAGAGTCTACTTCCTACCATCTTGCTCGTTGTCAGGGAACAGCTTGAAGATTGGTGGATGCCAGCTGATTTTATGCTTGAACGTCGAACGTGTTTTGTCTCAGTTCGTTGCCCCTCCACAAGCTCTTGTCAAATACCCCCCCTGTCTGTTGAGGTTGAGGGACACGTGGTTCATCTTATTTATGATAGTCTGTGTTTAATCAGGATTCGTTGTGTGCCGAGCTCACACGCTGGTGCCTCCCTGCACACGTCCCGGGGCCCTCGGCACGATACAGAGGTTGAGATGTGCCAAGGGGATTTTTAGTTAAATTTGCGATTGGCTAAGACAACAGACCGCTTCCGGTCGATCGGTCAGTGCTGACGAAAGAGTACCGAGGACACAGAGAACTTCCGATAGCATCCACAAACATGTTGACCACATGCTGATTAAGCACTTTTGGTGTGGATTTGAGGAGATTAGGTTCAACGTCTCTAAAGCAGCGTCACCAACCCTCGCTGGTACGCCAAATGCGCCGTTAACTCTTCGCAGTACGGATAGGTTTGGACACGGATTAAGGTTGTGGCTGTCTCAAACACAGTCCACTGATTATGCATCTTCAGAGAACAGCTCATACTGTCGACCCAACGAAGCGTCATCACGTGCACCTGGATTTGGCATGGTGGTGTTACATCATGGTGGCACGTGGTAGCCCTATTTATAAAATCATTTTTTTCAAAGTACATTCAATTCATAAGAATTATCGGAATAATATACCTGTATTTCAACTTGGTGTTGATACAAAGATAAGTGCATCGTTACCAATGTCGCGTGACCCTTGCGAAAAATCGATGGCTACGGGACGATCCCTATTCCACATGACATTATTTGACACGAGTCGTTGTTACTGGGTATTATAGGTTTAATAAGTTGTGGAAATAGTTATGAATATCAACTGAGTATTCAACCAAAATCAAAACTGCATTTTAGGTAAAGAATTCTACGGCTAGACCGAATTTCTTCAAATACATGTCTCAGGTTACGCTGCGTTCCGATTGCCTTTAGTGATAAAGCTACATAGAATCGGGATGTTAAATCTCATTGAAGAAAGTCCTTGCTTCAGAGTAATCTCCCTTTCATTGTGCCGAAACCATATCTCTGTCTGGAAAAACGGAAATCAACGTGTGGAAGCAGCCTGTTGTAAAGCACAAATGTTAGACCTGTTCTCATTGGCCTGCCCAAAGCCGAACTGTGATTGGCTGACGGAAGAATATAAATGCTGCACACGGTAGTTCCGTGTGCATTGGAGAAGCCTCGCAGGGTTGAGTCCACTAGGTTCAGAGTGGAAGATGAAAATCTTTACCTCAATGTTGCTCCTGATGGTGTCCATGTCTGACTGAAGCTTATACTTATTTGTCGCTAAGGTTTTCCCGCCTCTTTACATTAGAGAGTGAGTAGTATTGTTTTATACCGCTTTAACAATATTCCAGCATTATGATGCAGGGACACCAGAAATGAACTTCACGCATGGTACCCATTTGGGAATTAGAACCTGTTCCTCCGGCGTGGCGAGCAAACGCCTTAAACACTAGGCTACCCTACCGTCCCTATATATAAGATGCGCAATGGGTTGTCCTTGTCTGTCAACAGAGGTCCCTAAAAGGGTTTAAATAGGGTGTCTCGGATCCAGCAATAGTGATATCATATCAAGTATAATCTACCTAAGATGAGCCAATAACCAGAGCTGCCCACCTTCATGTTTATCTTAAGGAAGCGTTGAGTTAGTCCGGTGGTTAAAACTCATTATTCGTCACATCGGTGATCCTGTTCATTCCCGGGTACAATGTACGCCGCAAACTGTTGGTGTGCCCGCTCTTGATGTTGCTCGGGTATTGCTAAACGCGGCATCAGTGCACACTCACTCACTCACCCACTCACCACTTTATAGCTTAGTCGCAAGGAAGGCAGAGGGTTTGGGAGATTACTACCTTCCACCATACACTGGGTATCAACTACAACAAGGCATTTTCAGTTCACGAGAAATAACACAAGCAGCTTGGGTTGTATACTCCCAAGGGAGCTGAGATTGAAAATCGAGTGCACACTGATCATATGACCGGGGAAATAATGTTTGCGCCCACATGGGTTTCAAATCAAAGTTCTTGTGACCCTTTCATTTTGCTTGTTATCGATGTACATTAATATACACTACCGGGCAAAAGAAACTATACATATGAAATTGACCAAACAATTATCAAAATTAAACCGTTATCAAAACGTTGCTTTGCTTAAAACGGACGCTGAATCACTGCCAAAACACACCAATGACCCATATCAAAACATCACCATCGAATAACCATTTCTTCCCATTTAGCAACCATCAAACATGGGTGTATACTTGCCCGGCAGTTTATTAACTGGGCCGATGTGGTGGCGAGTATACAATACAAGTAATATTGTGTTCCACCCATAGTTTTTTGTGTTCCCCTCTTTTTTCCATGCAAAACAACATTAGTTTGTTTAGGGTAGTTCCCCTCCGGATAATGAAAATTTCATTTCATTAAATAAAGTTGATGGTTACTTCGAACCTCCCCCTACAGTTGTGGAGACAAAATACTTGAAGCAAATTGTAAAAGAATCTCATGAAAACAAAGTCGTTTCTCATAGTTTATTCATGCTCTCAGTGGCACATTGTAGTTTCTGGATACAAATGGGAATCTTGGGAAGTAGTGATTCAGTATGACAAATGAAATCACAATTTTTTTTTTATCAAGAACGAGTCTTTGCCAATCAGCTTGTATCATTTTGCTCCAACGTTTGACATTTGTATAGTGTACACCGCCAATGGCACAGCGGTCTCTAGACGTCGACATTACAGTATTCTTTCTCTTCCGGGATCAGATCCCATGGGTTGTCGCACACCAGCTTGGAGTTGGAGAACATCAAGCCCTCGCCGCAGTTCATGTTCAAGACCTTGCCGTGAGCACATTGCGTGAAGTTGTTGCAGCTGCCCGCAACAGCTTTCATTTGGCACTCTGAGAATAATAATGTGTAAACAGTTCAGTCAGTCACAGTGTGCTTATCTCATTCATAATATGTTATATTTGTTGTTTAACACCGCACTCAGCTATATTCCAGCTACATGGTGACTGTCTGTAAAAAATCGAGTCTGAACAAGACAACCTAGCGATTGATTCAATGAGCATCGATCCACGCAATTGGAATACGATGACATGCATCAACCAAGTCAGCGAGCCTGACCATCCTATCCCGTTAGTCGCCTCTTACGACAAGCATAGTCGCCTTTTACGGCAAGCATGGGTTGCTGAAGATCTATTGTATCCCGGATCTTCACGGGTAACAAGCATGGGTTATAACATGTAAAAAGTTCACACATTTATAATGTTATGGGTATATAGCAACATGAAACTGTACTATGCTTAGACAATAGTTATAGTAATGGGTCGGAGCACCAATGATTTAGTTATCTACAGCAAATCGCTGTGCAAAGCTCTCTTCGCTTAACTTATCAAGGATCTGCCAGTACTTGTACGACCCATGTACGACCCATGTACGACCCATGTAGGATAATGGTAGGGATAGGATAATGGTAGTGTAAGGGCTATGGTTGAGCTTGAGTTAGGTAGTTAGGTCAAAGGTATTGTGAGGACAATGGTTGAAAAAAGGACAATGGTAAAAGAAGGACAATGGTTAAGTTATGACACTTAAGGTCAAGGACAATTGCTGATTTCAGACAACTGTTGGGTAAGGAAAACAGTAGAGTGTGCAGAGCGATTCAGTTAGGACAATTGTTGAGTTAGGACAACGGTAGAGTAAGGACAATGGTTCAGTTAGGTCAATGGTAGTGTACAGACAATGGTTCAGTTGGGACAATTGTAGAGTTAGGACAATGGTAGTGTACAGAAAATGGTTCATTTAGGACAGTGGTGGTGTACAGACTGGTTCAGTTTGGACAATGGTAGTGTACAGAAAATGGTTCAGTTAGGACAGTGGTGGTGTACAGACTGGTTCAGTTAGGTAAATGGTAGTGTACAGAAAATGGTTCAGTTAGGTCAATGGTGGTGTACAGACAATGGTTCAGTTAGGACAATGGTAGTGTGCAGACAATGGTTCAGTTAGGACAATGGTGGTCGTACAGACAATGGTTCAGTTAGGACAATGGTGGTGTACAGACAATGGTTCAGTTAGGACAATGGTGGTGTACGGACAATGGTTCAGTTAGGACAATGGTGGTGTACAGACAATGTTAGGGATAGGCTAAAAGTAGAGTAAGGCCTATGGTTAGCTTGGACAATGTTGAGTTAGATAGCTAGGTCAAAGGTATTGTGAGGACAATGGTTGTAAAAGGACAATGGTTAAAGAAGGGCAATGGTTAAGTTATGACACTTAAGGTCAAGGACAATAGCTGATTTCAGACAACTGTTGGGTAAGGAAAACAGTAGAGTGTGCACAGCGATTCAGTTAGGACAATTGTTGAGTTAGGACAATGGTAGAGTTGGGACAATGGTTCAGTTAGGACAATGGTAGTGTAAAGACAATGGTTCAGTTGGGACAATTGTAGAGTTAGGACAATGGTTCAGTTAGGACAATGGTAGTTTACAGAAAATGGTTCAGTTAGGACAGTGGTGGTGTACGGACAATGGTTCAGTTAGCACATTGGTGGTGTACAGAAAATGGTTCAGTTAGGAGAATGGTGGTGTACGGACAATGGTTCAGTTAGGACAATGGTAGAGTAAGGACAATGGTTCAGTTAGGTCAATGGTGGTGTACGGACAATGGTTCAGTTAGGACAATGGTAGAGTAAAGACAATGGTTAAGTTAGCACAATGGTGGTGTACGGACAATGGTTCAGTTAGGACAATGGTAGAGTAAGGATAATGGTTCAGTTAGGACAATGGTAGTGTACAGAAAATGGTTCAGTTATGACAATGGTCGAGTTAGGACAATGGTTCAGGTATGTCAATGGTAGTGTACAGACAATGGATCAGTTAGGACAGTGGTGCTTTACAGAAATGGTTCAGTTAGGACAATTGTAGTGTACAGACAATGGTTCAGTTAGGACAGTGGTGGTGTACAGACTGGTTCAGTTAGGACAATGGTAGTGTACAGAAAATGGTTCAGTTAGGTCAATGGTAGTGTACAGAAAATGGTTCACTTAGGTCAATGGTGGTTTACAGACTGATTCAGTTAGGAAAATGGTAGAGTAAGGACAATGGTTCAGTTAGGACAATGGTAGTTTACAGAAAATGGTTCAGTTATGACAATGGTAGAGTTAGGACAATAGTTCAGGTATGTCAGTGGTAGTGTACAGACAATGGTTCAGTTAGAACAGTGGTGGTGTACAGACAATGGTTCCGTTAGGACAATGGTAGTGTGCAGACAATGGTGGTGTGCAGACAATGGTGGTGTACAGACAATGGTTCAGTTAGAACAGTGGTGGTGTACAGACAATGGTGGTGTGCAGACAATGGTGGTGTGCAGACAATGGTGGTGTACAGACAATGGTGGTGTACAGACAATGGTGGTGTGCAGACAATGGTTCAGTTAGAACAGTGGTAGTGTACAGACAATGGTGGTGTGCAGACAATGGTGGTGTACAGACAATGGTGGTGTACAGACAATGGTTCAGTTAGGACAATGGTAGAGTTAGGACAATGGTTCGGGTATGTCAGTGGTAGTGTACAGACAATGGTTCCGTTAGGACAATGGTGGTGTGCAGACAATGGTGGTGTACAGACAATGGTTCAGTTAGGACAATTGAAGTGTGGAGACAATGGTTCAGTTAGGACAATGGTAGTGTACAGAAAATGGTTCAGTAAGGTCAATGGTGGTGTACAGACAATGGTTCAGTTAGGACAATGGTAGTGTGCAGACAATGGTTCAGTTAGGACAATGGTAGTGTACAGAAACTGGCTCAGTTAGGACAATGGTAGTGTGGAGACAATGGTTCAGTTAGGACAATGGTGGTGTACAGAAACTGGTTCAGTTAGGACAATGGTAGAGTAAGGACAACGGTTCAGTTAGCACAATGGTGGTGTACGGACAATGGTTCAGTTAGGACAATGGTAGAGTAAGGACAACGGTTCAGTTAGGACAATGGTAGTGTACAGACAATGGTTCAGTTAGGTCAATGGGGGTGTACAGACAATGGTTCAGTTAGGACAATGGCGGTGTACAGAAAATGGTTCAGTTAGGTCAATGGTGGTGTACAGAAAATGGTTCAGTTAGGTCAATGGTGATGTACAGACTGGTTCAGTTAGGACATTGGTAGAGTAAAGACAATGGTTCAGTTAGCACAATGGCGGTGTACGGACAATGGTTCAGTAAGGACAATGGTAGAGTAAGGACAATGGTTCAGTTAGGACAATGGTAGTGTACAGAAAATGGTTCAGTTATAACAACGGTAGAGTAAGCCTAATGGTTCAGGTATGTCAATGGTAGTGTACAGACAATGGTTCAGTTAGGACATTGGTGGTGTACATATAATGGATCAGTTACCACAGCGGTGGTGTACAGAAAATGGTTCAGTTAGGACAATTGTAGTGTACAGAAACTGGTTCAGTTAGGACAGTGGTGGTGTACAGACTGGTTCAGTTAGGACAATGGTAGTGTACAGAAAATGGTTCAGTTAGGACAGTGGTGGTGTACAGAAAATGATTCAGTTAGGACAATGGTAGTGTACAGAAAATGGTTCAGTTAGGACAGTGGTGGTGTACAGACTTGTTCAGTTAGGACAATGGTAGTGTACAGAAAATGGTTCAGTTAGGTCAATGGTGGTTCACAGACTGCTTCAGTTAGGACAATGGTAGAGTAAGGACAATGGTTCAGTTAGCACAATGGTGGTGTACGGACAATAGTTCAGTTAGGACAATGGTAGAGTAAGGACAATGGTTCAGTTAGCACAATGGTGGTGTACAGACTGATTCAGTTAGGACAATGGTAGAGTAAGGACAATGGTTCAGTTAGGACAATGGTAGTTTACAGAAAATGGTTCAGTTATGACAATGGTAGAGTTAGGACAATGGTTCGGGTATGTCAGTGGTAGTGTACAGACAATGGTTCAGTTAGAACAGTGGTGGTGTACAGACAATGGTTCCGTTAGGACAATAGTGGTGTGCAGACAATGGTGGTGTGCAGACAATGGTTCAGTTAGGACAATGGTGGTGTAAAGAAAATGGTTCAGTTAAGTCAATGGTGGTGTAAAGACAATGGTTCAGTTAGGACAATTGTAGTGTGGAGACAATGGTTCAGTTAGGACAATGGTAGTGTTAACGGATAAATGGTTAAGTTAGGACAATGGTGGTGTACGGACAATGGTTCAGTTAGGACAATGGCGGTGTACGGACAATGGTTCATTTAGGACAATGGTGGTGTACGGACAATGGTTGAATGGTACGACGGACTCACTTGGCGTGTCCAGGAGTCTGTCTGACACATCGGCACATGTCACATTGTTGGCGTCGTCGCAGTACATGAGCTCCGCGCTGAACAGCGTCTTGGGGGGACACTGGAGAGGGCCGTGGACTTCCTCCTTTCTACACGTCACGAATAGTATGCACCCCTCGTTGGGGACGACGACGAGTTTCATCTCCTCTGTGTTGCCGGAGCACAGACTTGTGTCTAAAATGGCAGAGAGGAATAATAATAATAATAATAATATATTGAAAATGTAGAGGGCGTCATGGAAAATGATAAATACAAAATTCTTTTGGATAGGACCGTTTACAGCCTCAGACGTATCCAGTGCAACAAACCTGATCTTGTCCTTATTGATAAATCCAATGAAATAATTTATATCATTGAATTTTCTGTCCCTTTTGACACAAATGTGATTGACAAGATTCAGGAAGAACATGGCAAATATGAGGACCCCGCTTTCGAAATGTCACGCTTGCATCCCAAGTACCAAGTTGTCCGACTCCCCATTGTTCTCGGTGCCTTAGGTTTGGTACCTCCCAATCTGTTGACTGACATTGGGAGAGTACCCGGGTTTGCTACCAGGAATACAGCCCTTCTGACAACCTGGGTAATGCAGAAGGCTGCAGTGTTGGAGAGTCTTCACATTCTCCGAAAAGTTCTGGGTGGGTTTGACTAGGCAGCGCTTCCTGGGAGAAGTCCCATTCGCTGTCGGGGCTGCGTGTAGAGGGGCAAGGGCCCTGAGCTGATGATGAGCCTAACCAGCCGGACTATGGCAGGATCATTCAAACCCTCTTTGCTGCATTTTTTATTTTAATCTGTAAAAAATAATAATGACTCAAACTCGAGATATAGAACTATATATGATATTCGATTCAGTCACGTCCTGGTGATCCTAGTTAGTCCGAGTGAGTGAGTATGGTTTTACGCCGCTTCTAGCAATATTCCAGGAATATCACGGCGAGGGACACCAGAAATGGGCTTCACACATTGTACCCATGTCGGGAATTCAACCTGGGTCTTCGGCGTGACTAGTTAGTCCGAAACCAACTCAGTCCGGAAGAATGACTGTTGGAAGCGTCTGTATCTACATACCTACACACCTCTGATTGGTTACGGACCCGTGAAGGTCGGGGTTAGAATAGGTATTCAGCAACCCATGCTTGCTGTAAGAGGCGACTATACTTGCTGTAAGAGGCGACTATACTTGTCGTAAGAGGCGACTAACAGGATCGGAGTGCGGCGTTAAACAACATAATTGAATGACAGTGATACACATAATTAATTACATTCTCACAGTCATTCACCTGATGTAGGAGTAATCATATACTCTGAAACTTTGTGTTCCTCATAATAAAAAAAGTTGACATCTATAAATTCTCTCCTATAAACGCGACCCTTAACCCAACCCCCACCCCACAACACCACACCACACACACGCCCAACCACATTTTGTTTGTGTTCCCCCGGGGTTGTAGAGATGATTCCGATGTGTATTGATGGTATGGGGCATACTTATCTGGAAGCTACTGTGAACATTAAGGACATATTTCTCACGTTACAAAAAAGGACCATTGGTAAACCCGATTAAGCATACACAGGCATGACTGTATCTTCCTCCCGTATCATGGTCCTTGGGGAGTCTCGATCAGAATTTGCACCAAGCAATCTATCCGACTATTGTTTTGATAAATTTTGCCGACCTCGCTGTCATTTTATTCTTGACACCCCGTCCCTTATAGTCACTCCGCCCGCCCCCGGGGCCTTATGTTTAATCACCATGGATAACCTGTCATGTATGTCTTTTACAGAAGTCGTTTTTCGTTACTGACCGATTGTACCCCAGAGCCAAGCATGGTGAATTGTACAGATGTGTTTAAAGCTTATACAGTTTTTAATGTTATTGACAAAGTCCAAATCAAAAGTTCTTGACAAATCTTTAAAACATCCTCATCGTTCATCTTCTCTTCCCCCTGAAAATCCGATTCCCATAAACAGCTAGATTATCACTGGTTGGTGTTAAATACTGTTTCATACGGTGGCCCATGGAGTCTGTTTTTCAATATTTTGATATTTCACTTACTTTTATCATAACCTTTAGCAAATTAACACAATTTGTCATACAAATATGTGATAAATCATATATAAAAACAACCGAAAACATGGAAAATGTACTTTCAAGAAGCTATTGAATCGCTGAAATGTGAAGCGAAAATGTCAAAAACTAAAATGGAAAAGTCAAAAACAAAAACGAAAAAGTCAAAAACAAAAGCGAAAAGGTCAGAAGCTAAAATGAAAATGTCAAAAACAAAAACGAAAATGTCAACAAAAAAAAGCGAAAATGTCAAAAACTAAAATGAAAATACAGAAAACTAATTCCATAGCGGTGATAATATTCCCACCGCGGTGGAAATAGTTTTCTGTATTTTCATTTTAGTTTTTGACATTTTCGCTTTTGTTTTAGGCTTGACCACATGTAATACCGCGCTACCCTCGTTTCAAGGTGCGCTGACTTCAACAGTATCATGTATAGACCTAGAAGAAAACCACATCCTAGATCTGTTGGCATATTTCATCATTGATAAGGTCTTGACTAAATTGCCGGGCAAAAGGAATATTCTCTTAAAAATTGGAATTCACCAACAAGTTACAAACTTTATGAAAACGTCTGAAAACAATCGCCGAAACACTGCAAACCTAAGGTCAAAAACACAACTATAATACCCGTATCAAACGCATCACCATCGAATAACCATTTCTTGTTTGTTTCATTTTAGCTACCATTGAACACGGGTGTATACTGCCTTTTTCACCCGGCAGTATAAAATTGTTGTACATTCCTTAAAAAATCCCCCGATGAGATTCCTTTCCATGATGCCAACAGAGCTTCGACCTTGGAACCCTTCATTTTAACGGACAGACACAGACATCATCTGATAAACCTCGTTTTGTCAACTCACAAAGTTTGAGCCAAAATATGAAATAAATAAAGACGCAGATTTTCGTGTTTTTGTAAATATTATACGCATCTTCAAGCTATGAGGTTACTGGTGCATATTCTGAAAGATTAGGCCCACATTGTCACTTAAACAATATCGGAGGTCTGTAAAATAACATGTCCATCCTTAAAAGACATTCGAAAGCAGTATATGCCAAATTGAATATATATAATTCGATGTTCAGGTCAACCATTTACTCGCCATTTTGGCAACCACAAATTTACCAGTTAAGTGTTGGCTTCCCTTGTTAAGTTTCCATCTTTGTTGTCTTATTAGTTTTCTTGTTCTTTCAGGTACATACAAACGAGTGTTCTTCAGAGAATTTATTCATCCGATGAAGGAGTAAGTATATACTCTTAAACATTGTGTTCCTCATAATAAAGAAGTTGACATCTATAAATTCTCTTCCTTATGCGTATCACTTCTAAATGCCATTCAAAGGCTCCACAAATTATCAAGATTTAAATTCTGTCATGTTATATTCCAAGAGCCTTCAAGAGCAGAACTGTACTGTAACAGCGGAATTTATTTGTAAAACGTATCCTTCATTGTATGGTACACACGCCATGTTTTGGCCTGTGGCCTTTCATACAATGAATATCTGAATTTAAAATACAATGTATTATTAAGGTCCTTGCATTCGGTAGGTTTCGTAAAGTTTGTTGTTGTTTGTTTGTTGTTGAACGCCGCATTCAGCAATATTCCAGCTATATGAAGGCGGTCTGTAAATAATCTAGCCTGGACCAGACAATCCAGTGAGTGATATTATGTGCATCGATCCACGCATTTGGGATACGATGACATGCATCAACCAAGTCAGCGAGCCTGACCACCCGATCCCGTTATTTTACGGCAAGCATTGGTTGCTGAAGACCTATTCTACCCCGGATCTTCACAGGTTGTTTCGTAAGGTGTATGAGCTCGTTCAGCATCGCTCATATTATCAACAACTATATTGTGGTGGGCAAGATGATCGACAGACTTCAGTGATATGAAAAAACCGCATTCGTCCATACCAGAAACTCAGCGTTACGATGCCGTAGTAAGAAATTACCGTGACAAGTAAGGTTATGGGAAAGCAATGACAAAAACATGAGATTAAATAAAGAAGAATCAATTACACTTACACTTGCTTTCTCCATGTGCACAGGTTGCGAAAACACACACGAGAATGGCACCGATGTTGATGGTGGAGAACATTTTCGATACGCCAGTAGACAGCCAAGAGGTATCCGAGAGAATCTGAATGCAGGTCCAAGCGTCACTGGATCAGTGAGTCCAGAGTGGGGGTATTTAACCACCCCATCAAGCGTCAACACCCCTTATGTAAATGGTTAATTAACAAGGTTCTAAGGCGTAGTACCCCTTCAAGGGCCAATCACACGTACGATTGACATCAAGCGTTTTTAACCCTTTGAGGTCTTAACCACGAGATCCCGACATGGCGCGAGGCGACTGATGGTTCTATTTGCTGTCGTTGACGTCGACGTGAATACAGTAGCTGATGAGAATATGGTCCAGATGATAACATATTACAAAGGGATAGAAAAGAAGAGTAATTCGTTCACTTGTTTAAGCGTGGCCATGTCATGTGTGTTTGTCTCCAGTACATATCTAAGTCAGGTTAACACCTTGGTGCTACCGGTAGGTAAACTGCTCCCATCGACTCTAAACAAAGGAAGGTTTGCATAAGTAGAAGTGTTTTGTAACCCTGTGTTAAAATGAGGGGATGGAATGGGCTGTTTGACATGCACGTGGAAATTCCACATGGATGTTTAATGGTCGTTTACATTGGAGAAACTATTCCACGTGTTCAACATCAGTCGGTCAAGTTCCGTATCATGTTTCGGTTGACAAACAGAAATTAAATACAGACACTCGTCTGAAACTATTATTTTAGCTTGGCTTCAAGGCGATCTCATGTTGATAAATGATGAAATATGGCTTACTATTTTGGGTCAACTTGTGCACATTGCCGTGTGATGTCCGATACAATTCCCTATTTTGACATATACCGTGTATTGCCGTGTTTTTTTAACAACTGACTTGTCATTGCATGTGGGACGGGTCCCCTGGGTGGGCAGGATGTGGGACGGGTGCCCTCGGTGGGCAGGATGTTGGACAGGTGCCCTGGTCGGGCAGGATATGGGACGGGTACCCTGGGTGGGCAGGATGTGGGACGGGTGCCCTCGGTGGGCAGGATGTTGGACAGGTGCCCTGGTCGGGCAGGATATGGGACGGGTACCCTGGGTGGGCAGGATGTGGGACGGGTACCCTGGGTGGGCAGGATGTTGGACAGGTGCCCTGGTCGGGCAGGATGCGTGACGGGTGCCCTGGGTAGGGAGGATGGTGAACGGGTGCCCAGGGTGGGCAGGATGTGGAACGGGTGCCCTGGGTAGGCAGGATGTGGTACGGTTGCCCTGGGTGGGCAGGATGTGGTACGGTTGCCCTCGGTGGGCAGGATGTGGTACGGTTGCCCTGGATGGGCAGGATGTGGTACGGTTGCCCTCGGTGGGCAGGATGTGGTACGGTTGCCCTGGATGGGCAGGATGTGGTGCGGTTGCCCTGGGTGGGCAGGATGTGGGACGGGTGCCCTGGGTGTGCATGATGTGGGACGGCCGCACTGGTCGGGCAGGATGTAGGACGGGTACCCCGGGTGGGCAGGATGTGGGACGGGTGCCCTGGGTGGGCAGGATGTGGTGCGGTTGCCCTGGGTGGGCAGGATGTGGGACGGGTGCCCTGGGTTGGCAGTGGTGGGACGGGTGCCTTGGGTGGGCATGATGTGGTACGGGTGCCCTGGGTGGGCATGATGTGGGACGGGTGCACTGGTCGGGCAGGATGTGGGACGGGTACCCTTGGTGGGTAGGATGTGGGACGGGTACCCCTGGTGGGCAGGATGAGGGACGGGTACCCTGGGTGGGCAGGATGTGGGACGCGTACCCTGGGTGGGCAGGATGTGGGACGGGTGCCCTGGGTGGGCAGGATACGCTTACCTTAACCGAACACCTGGTATCATCACTATTTCATAGCTATTCCCCAACATATATGATATAGTCAGAATCGTGAAATAGACTTTTAGCAGAGATTTCTTATGATTGTGGACATGTTTTTGCCGCTTTTATTAATCTATACAGTTGTTTTATGGCGTTGATATTGTCAAAACCTACTGGGCGAGTCCACCAGACATCACCGTTTAAACGGCTCTAGGCAATACGCTGTGCATGAAGCTTGGTGTAGGACAGGGTGGCCTAGGACCGTGTACACTGGGAATCCTCGACGCGAATAGCTGGAAAATTGCTGATGCGGCGTGTAGAGGTAGCCAGAGATTGTAGGCCTGTAGAGGGTAGCGTATGTGTACCCGGGGAAACCCGGATATTGTAGGCCTGTAGAAGGGTAGCGTATGTGTACCCGGGGAAACCCGGAGATTGTAGGCCTGTAGAAGGGTAGCGTATGTGTACCCGGGGAAACCCGGAGATTGTAGGCCTGTAGAAGGGTAGCGTATGTGTACCCGGGGAAACCCGGAGATTGTAGGCCTGTAGAGGGAAGCGTATGTGTACCCGGGGAAACCCGGAGATTGTAGGCCTGTAGAGGGAAGCGTGTGTGTACCCGGGGAAACCCGGAGATTGTAGGCCTGTAGAAGGGTAGCGTATGTGTACCCGGGGAAACCCGGAGATTGTAGGCCTGTAGAAGGGTAGCGTATGTGTACCCGGGGAAACCCGGAGATTGTAGGCCTGTAGAGGGAAGCGTATGTGTACCCGGGGAAACCCGGAGATTGTAGGCCTGTAGAGGGAAGCGTGTGTGTACCCGGGGAAACCCGGAGATTGTAGGCCTGTAGAGGGAAGCGTTTGTGTACCCGGGGAAACCCGGAGATTGTAGGCCTGTAGAAGGGTAGCGTATGTGTACCCGGGGAACCCGGACATTGTAGAGGAAGTTAATGAACTCACAAGATTCTGCTATTTCAGGTTGGGGTTTTCTTAAGCGTAGCATATAAAGGACATTGTTAAATGGACGTTCGAGATTTATATTAGTTTACTTCGAGATCGCAACCATCCCATGTGTGATATGTGTCGCCCGCGACCTCCCGGTCATAGTGTGTTTTCAGTGTAAGGAAAGTATTGAAGATGAATGTCATGTATTGCTGGATTGCCCTGTGTACGATGATTTGCGTGAAAGTTCATACGAAAAGGTCAGTTTAAGCTATCCCAAATTTCAAGAGTTATGCAATACTGATAAACTTATTGTATTTTTTAGATATTATGTATATTTCACAGCCAAAACCTGCTTTATAATTCTCCAACGAAGAAAATATATTTTATATGGCTAGTTACGGGTAGTATATTTTACATACCCCTTTTACACCAATATATTTATGCTGTATATACTGTGATATATTTTAAGTCTCTCGTAACCCTTAACGGGTGGCTTACGTTTATGTCCTTTTATATGTATCTATGTAAATATTTTTGTGAGGTGAGACTCAAATAAACAATCTGTCTGTCTGTCTGTCTGTCTGTGTGTATTAGGCAGCTTAATTGGAGTCTCTATAGGGAACACCCGCCGGTGAGTTAATTGAGCCTAACGTGTATGATATAGTTAGATCACGGCGTTTCAGCTAAAGCTACCGGAGTCTACTGCTCGTTGGTTCGAATCCCAGTTTATCTCCTCATTCTGACCCAAGGTTTCACACTATGCACAAACCAAACACGCATTCATCAGGATAATATTGTATTGATTCAAATATACATTGTTTTATTATTAGGTATACACATGCCCCTCATTCACAACTAATAAACTTGTCCATCTTTGAGTACAGCATGTTGTATATCGTATGGTGCGATCTTTGAGTAAAGTATGACGTATCTATACGTGTAACCTAGGTTGTCAGTAATTGATTATAATGTAACTCTATATATTCTATGTCGTATATCCTGGGTCGATCATCGAGTACAGTGTGTCGATCATTGAGTACAGCGTGTCGAACACTGAGTATAGCGTGTCGATCATTGAGTACAGTGTGTCGATCATTGAGTATAGCCTGTCGTATATACTGTAGCGATCATTGAAGAAAGCCTTCGAAGATACTGTAGCGACCCTAGAGTATAGCGTGTCGTATATACTGTGTCGATCATTGAGTATAGCGTGGCGTATATACTGTGTCGATCATTGAGTATAGCGTGGCGTATATACTGTGTCGATCATTGAGTATAGCGTGGGGTATATACTGTGTCGATCATTGAGTATAGCGTGGCGTATATACTGTGTCGATCATTGAGTATAGCGTGGCGTATATACTGTGTCGATCATTGAGTATAGCGTGGCGTATATACTGTGTCGATCATTGAGTATAGCGTGGCGTATATACTGTGTCGATCATTGAGTATAGCGTGGCGTATATACTGTGTCGATCATTGAGTATAGCGTGTCGATCGTTGAGTATAGCGTGTCGTTTATACTGTCGATCAATGAGTATAGCGTGTCGTATATACTGTGTCGATCATTGAGTGTAGCGTGTCGTTTATACTGTCGATCAATGAGTATAGCGTGGCGTATATACTGTTGACATCACACATATTCAAGCAGCCACAAGTCTCTAACATACCGCAAGCTGCTGTGGTGTGTTGCGTCCCTTGGTCATTTCTGATCGGATTTTATTGGTTCGAATATCAGTTCTCCCTGATTAAGTCATACCCTGCTCATCCTACCCTGCTCAGGGACTTCACCATAGTGGTCAAGTGTCCGTACGACCTTTGGCTTTCCTCCCACTTAACGCTGACTCGCGTGACCGAAATAAGTTTTAAAAACGCCCTAAACCCCAACTGACACTCCAAGTCTATTCGTATATGTTTTATATACTAATTTCTGTGTGGATCATTAAGTACAGTTTTACTGTATTTTTTATGATGAATTCCCCGTGTTTAATCGTAAACGAATATATGACAATTCCTTAATAAACTTATGTGAATTGCTTTACTGGCATGAACGTTATCGTCGTAATCCTGAACAAAATTACGAAATGAAATTATAATTTTTTTATTTTTTTTACCACTGGTCGTCTCTAAGTTTCTTACTATGTATTGTAACGGTAAAATAGTCACTAAGTGCATGTACCATTTGTACACAATACAAAATGTTGGACAAGGACGAGCCTCTGAATCTGTTTAAAATATAATCCTACTTGCCATCAAGGATGTAGTCTGAGAAGACGGTCTTACCCCACTCTTGAACCGGATGTCAAGGAAAGTCATGGCCTGGTAACCTTAAAAACTAATTAACCCTCTAAAAACTTCATTTGTTATTTCGCTCGTACCAACAGCCCCCTCCGTCGGTGGTGTATATGCGGATGTCTACTGTGACAGTCTTGTCTGTATGAAATAAAAACCTCTCACAACATTTAGGAAACCATATGCCGATTTCGTTTTGTTTCGTTAGCCTCATTGATTATGGCAACACCTATTTATTGAAGTTTATAACGCGAAAACTATATATTTGAACGAACTACCTTGCCACAATGTCTCAAAGGTGAAATAAGCATTGACGTACCCCGTTAACTTCGGTGTTATCCTCAGTTATCCAATGGGTTACATTATAAGCTGTAGCAGGACACGGGGGACATGTGTTTTTTGAGTGGTATAAACACCAAACGAGGGACGCTTAAAACCCAATGTACCCCGTGTACTGCTACAAAGAATTTATCTTACGACATGATTTAATATAGAATTAAAACAAATTCAAAATTGATAGAAAACAGCTGTTCGATTCAGCTGAGGCTATCTTGTGCCATGTCACATGACTTACATTGACTCGGAAAAAGCGTGCGGCTTTTTGCTTCGAAGTGGGTATGAGGGATTTATTCTGCCTCTCAGAAATCCACGTGCACCTGTCTTGCTCGTGGCGGGGTAAAGAGATTTCCTCTTCCGCTGAGAAATTTATCTTCCTCCAAGGCGGGATAAAATCGTAGTTTATCAACATCACGTGGACCAATTATTTCTCATCATTCTGACATAGAGGTATGATAACGCCTTTTGTTATACTCTGTACCCACTACTATTTCGGGAAGTAATAAATCGACACAAAGTTCAGGTCATGAGTTTATTGGACAGAGAAACGTTAGTGACAGTGTCTGGATAGGAACACTAACCATGCGTTTGAGCAGACATGAGCTGGTCACACAACATATTGCTTAACGTATGCTGTTGCGACAGGTTGCAGGTCAGATCGCTTCTGTGAATGAAGCTTTACGTGGTGTCCACGAAGCAGTTTTGGACAATTATTATGTTTAAAGGTTATAAATGGTACTGATGTATTTTCAAAATTGTAGATGAGCAAAAAAGGAGTTTGAAACGTGGCTTGGTGAAAACTGATTAAAGTCGACAATAGTCCTTCTCCTCGTCGCCCAGGTTCCCTGGGTATTCACAGATGTGAAGCCTGTTGGAGTACATGGTGTCCTCTCCGCAGCTGAAGGAGAACTCCTGGCCATTGACGCACAGGGTGAAGTTGGTGCAGTCGCCCTGGACGGCTTGGGTGGCACACGCTGCAGTCGAAGAACATGATATACAACAAAGACAACACAAACACTCATTCATTCAGGATTCCATTTCAGTGAGCTGATGACCTTATACCTCGAATCGATCTCAGCGCTTCCGTACTCCAGTGATATAAACTCAAACACGTTCCTTGTACCATAAGTTTGACGTGTATAGGATTGTGTTTAACAGCTTAACGTGTTTAGGGTCTAAATGTGTATACTCCCTTCCTCCCTCCCTCCTAAAAGCTATTTTAGCAGAAAAATGGATTAATTTTGGGTTGTTGTTTTTTATTTAAATTAAGTTATGGGTCTATCTGAGTAATCAGATATACTTTCAGCTTCTTGTATGAGAGAAACACTATTGGTCACTGTTGGTCCAACACATCCCTAACTATGTTTAGATCTAAACATGTCTTTTTGTGTTTAAATTACAAACACATCTTTTTACAGTGTCGTAATCTTTACTGTATGGCTGTTCTACTACGGGTGTACCGACGTACCTCCCCACAAGGCCGTATTACCATGGGTGTACCGACGTACCATCTTGCAAGGCCGTTCTACCATGGGTGTACCGACGTACCTCCTTGCAAGGCCGTTCTACCATGGGTGTACCGACGTACCTCCTTGCAAGGCCGTTCTACCATGGGTGTACCGACGTACCTCCTTTCAAGGCCGTTCTACCATGGGTGTACCGACGTACCTCCTTTCAAGGCCGTTCTACCATGGGTGTACCGACGTACCTCCTTTCAAGGCCGTTCTACCATGGGTGTATCGACGTACCTCCTTTCAAGGCCGTTCTACCATGGGTGTACCGACGTACCTCCTTTCAAGGCCGTTCTACCATGGGTGTACCGACGTACCTCCTTTCAAGGCCGTTCTACCATGGGTGTACCGACGTACCTCCTTTCAAGGCCGTTCTACCATGGGTGTACCGACGTACCTCCTTTCAAGGCCGTTCTACCATGGGTGTACCGACGTACCTCCTCGCAAGGTCGTTCTACTATGGGTGTACCGACGTACCTCCTCGCAAGGCCGTTCTACCATGGGTGTACCGACGTACCTCCTTTCAAGGCCGTTCTACCATGGGTGTACTGACGTACCTCCTCGCAAGGTCGTTCTACCATGGGTGTACCGACGTACCTCCTTTCAAGGCCGTTCTACCATGGGTGTACCGACGTACCTCCTTTCAAGGCCGTTCTACCATGGGTGTACCGACGTACCTCCTTGCAAGGCCGTTCTACCATGGGTGTACCGACGTACCTCCTCGCAAGGTCGTTCTACTATGGGTGTACCGACGTACCTCCTCGCAAGGCCGTTCTACCATGGGTGTACCGACGTACCTCCTTTCAAGGCCGTTCTACCATGGGTGTACTGACGTACCTCCTCGCAAGGTAGTTCTACTATGGGTGTACCGACGTACCTCCTCGCAAGGCCGTTCTACCATGGGTGTACCGACGTACCTCATTGAAATGGCGTTCTATCATGGGTGTACAGACGTACCTCCTTGCAAGGTCATTCTACTATGGGTGTATCGTCGTACCTCCTCGCAAGGCCGTTCTACCATGGGTGTACCGACGTACCTCATTGAAATGGCGTTCTATCATGGGTGTATCGACGTACCTCCTTACAAGGTCGTTCTACCATGGGTGTATCGACGTACCTCCTTGCAAGGCCGTTCTACCATGGGTGTACAGACGTACCTCCTCGCAAGGCCGTTCTACCATGGGTGTACCGACGTACCTCATTGGAATGGCGTTCTATCAAGGGTGTATCGTCGTACCTCCCCACAAAGCCGTTCTACCGTGGGTGTACTGACGTACCTCCTTGCAAGGCCGTTCTACCATGGGTGTACCGACGTACCTCCTCGCAAGGCCGTTCTACCATGGGTGTACCGACGTACCTCATTGAAATGGCGTTCTATCATGGGTGTACAGACGTACCTCCTTTCAAGGCCGTTCTACCATGGGTGTACCGACGTACCTCCTTGCAAGGCCGTTCTACCATGGGCGTACCGACGTACCTCATTGAAATGGCGTTCTACCATGGGTGTACCGACGTACCTCCTTGCAAGGCCGTTCTACCATGGGTGTACCGACGTACCTCCACGCAAGGCCGTTCTACAATGGGTGTGCCGACGTACCTCCTTTCAAGGCCGTTCTACCATGGGTGTACCGACGTACCTCCTTGCAAGGCCGTTCTACCATGGGCGTACCGACGTACCTCATTGAAATGGCGTTCTACCATAGGTATACCGAGGTATCTCCTTTCAAGGCCGTTCTACCATGGGTGTACTGTCGTATCTTTTTTAAGGTTTAGTTATACTACGGGAGTAACGACTGTATCTCCTTTCACGGATTTCTTCGACTGTAGATGTATCGACGGTCCTTTCGCAGGCATGTTTTAACATATGGTTATTTTCAACAACGGCCGGAAGTATAATCTGCTTAAGCAGCCCCTCATGGTGTATTCTCCCTGCAGTGTTTTATTGTACGATAAACAACGACCACGAGTCATTTACGAGTCGGACAAGTCCATTTTATGCACAAGTGGGTATTTCCCGTATATTCTCTCATTTCTCACGTCGATTACGTTTACCATTGTTTCCAATACCGATTGTCATCTCTCCCGCTTTTGGATGCGATGGACATTAGACATTAGACATTCCCCTCTAAAAAATAATGTCGACCAATATACGACTTCATCAAGTTGCGAGCGCATGTTCGTATCTCCATAAATGACGTCATGAAAGAAAAATGTTTTATCGTGAAATAAACCACGCCTCATTCTTCATTGTTCATTGTGATTTATCGCGTAGCTATCTTATATTTAGCGATACAGTGACAGGATTAAACAACCCACCCTATAACATAGAGTTGCTATCATCGTTGAGACAATGTTCCACACGCTACGCCGTATTGAGTTCCTTATTATTCATCTAGCCGTCGAAACGCTAATGTAATATAAGAATAAAGGTCAATCCTACTGAACCATCTTCGAATAAATAACTTCTTAACATTGAATACATAAGTAGGCACACACAATCGTTAGGATATATATTTGATGGTTATTGTAATAAATCAGAAGTGTATAATTAAGAATTTTCATATTGATACAACTTGAAATTACACTGACACGTTATTCAATCTTGGTGTACAGTTGTTAAATAACCACAAGGAAAGTATAATACGATATCTTACTCTCGGACAACTTCATGTGGACAAAAAACAAGAGTGTGTCATGAACTACCTCATCAACAATACCTTTCTCGAAGTTGTACATATATGGAGCCATTTTAGATCAAGGCAGATGTCTTCCAGATCAGTTGGTCTTTAACATTTATTTAAGTGTCATCTTGCTGTATTGACTATACGTATTGTGTAGCTTCTTCCACTTACTTGCGTTGTTTTCCGGACATACGAAGTTGCCTGGAAAGTCACAGTACTGCTTCTCGAAGTCGAACAAGGTCCCCTGTCCACAGTCCTGGGGGCCGAACGCCAGACCGTCAGAGTCACAGCTGATGAAGCGTTGGCACCCCCAGTTCGGGAGACTCACCTTCAGATTGCGGTTGTAGTCGCACAGCGGGATGGCTACAAGTGTGGAGAATACAGAGAGACGATACATGGCAGTGTAACCCGAGGTGACTGGTAGCATAAGGGTAGGAGCGTCACGCAATGGCCACGTAATGGGTAGGCAATGGAGTACAATCGTCAGACACTGTTCAAACAATGACCACACAATGGTCACAGGTCACACAATGGTCACACAAGGATCACACAATGGCCATGCAACGGTCACACAATGGTCACACAATGGCCACACAATGACCACACAATGGTCACACAATGATCATACCATGGTCACACAATGGCCAAACTATGGTCACACAATGGTTACACACTGGTCACACAATGGCCACACAATGGCAACACTATGGCCACACAATGGTCACAGGTCACACAATGGTTACACACTGGTCACACAATGGCCACACAATGGCAACACTATGGCCACACAATGGTCACACAATAGTTACACAATGGTCACAGATCACACACAGGCCACACAATGGTCACACTATGGTCACACAATGACCACACTATGATCACACAATGACCACACTATGTCCACTCAATGGTCACACAATGGTCACACAATGGCCAAACTATGATCACACAATGGTTACACAATGGTCACAAGTCACACAATGGTCATACACTGGTCACACAATGGCCACACAATGGCCACACACTGACCGAGAGTCAGATGGTTCAAGCTGTCCTGACATGCAATATTGCCAGTGTCTACAACCGCAATCAGTAACATGCGTGTGTCTGCCCTAACTGTACAATTTTAAGAGTGCGTATCAAAAACCTGGTTTATCATTATATTGATATCCTGCAAAGTCAATGTTAGCAGCTTTTTGTTGCGATGCACAGAAGATCAGTGCAATTTTGATTAAAGGAGCCAGCCGTGTGCAATGTACTACGATTTGGTCGCTACATGGACCGCCTGGACACGTTTCTTGTAATAACCTTTTCGAATAGATTCAAGCTGCTGTTTCAGATAATATGCTATACGTATTAATCAATATCTGTAACACATCACTAGGACAACAGAAACCGTCATAGATACTACAGCGGAACCTCACTAATACAAATATATCACTCCATTCCAACCATAGAATATACAACTCACGGGGTAAGCGCTGCGCATGACAAACCGGAAGTTGGAAACTACCATTCTCTCGCTTGACAGTAAAACTGTGATTTCACCCGAGCATATTAAGCATGATTTAGGCAAGCTTTTAGCCCCTTTAATGTATGTTTTGAACTAAATCGAACTTGTGTCATGCTTAGAAGGGCTTCCGGGCCACAATCGTTATAGCGTTAACATAGGACACTCAATAGACAGGTGGCTGTTTTTATCTTTTAAAACGACTTTTATCATGCTAACGTACTTTTGTGTCAATTTTACCTTTATTAAGCTATTTTAGGATTTGTATCAATGTTTGTATATATTCGGATATATTTATCAATACAAAAACTACGAGTTGATGGTAGTTTGGTGCGTGAACAAATGTACTGTTTGGACCGAACTTCGCGAACATTCCTATTCTAACTACCCAAACAGTAATCGTGAGGTATACGATGTAATATTGACAGTAGCGTGTGACCTCGCCTAGGTGAACACTATACCAAGCTGGCTGCCGCTCATTTCCTGATGAACGGCAGTATGTCACGTGATTACGTTGTCAATCGAGCGGAGACATTCAGAACTACCAGGGGAATTCCTCAATGTCTAAAAATAACATTAAACATCATTAGGGAAACTGACGACATCGATTCAGGCTATGAATGATGCAGACTTTTGGGGCCAGACAGATCATGTATATGTCGGGTCACCGAAATGAAGCGTCCATTTGAAGCTATGACAGAGAATGCTCGACTCAACAACAAAAATCACTGAGCTCCACACGGCCGTGTATATTGCTTCGGGAAATCCAACCGCCCCGCCTCAAGCGGCAATCCCCGTCATCAGCAGCAGTAGTTTGACTCAAACACACACTAAAAGTTCACAGAACGTTAATATCAATCCATTTTCAGCATCAGCCGGGTCTGGATTTCTTTCCAACGCCGCCATTTTCTGCCGTTTGTAAAACCAAGGGATGTCACTCCAAATGGAATGTTTAGGACGGATGACGTCACGACTCTCCGCGTTAATATAGTTCGCTTCAAATAATTAAATTTTGATGTTTAATGGATAGTTTTGTTATGATTTATGTATCTGTCAATGTAAGGATTGAAGTTGTATTTGACGTTCATCAGCTGATGAAGACAGTGTCTCAAGTGAGCAAATGTACCATGGAATTTGCTCACGTGAGGCACTGTCTTCATCAGCTGATGAACGTCAACAAATACAACTTCAATCCTAAATGAATTCCAGTAAGTGAGTTTGGTGTAATGGCGCTTTTAACATTATCTCGGTAATATCAAAGGTTAACTTATTGTGTGAGGAAAGCCAAAAGTCAGAAATCATAGACGTTTATCGCTTTGTCGAAACAACCGAGCAGAGATATGGTGCTGACAAACCCACACTCATGATCAGGGCCAAAACCGGATTAAACCAACGACGAGCAGATCCTGAGACCGGTAAGTCTTGCAACTCGCCACAGCGGATTGTCTCAACAGAAAGCCCGGTGACATATTCTAATCCGGGTCCCCTCGGGACCGGAGACTGACGTTCCTCACATAAATGTAATATATATATGCTATGTAGAAGTGAAGCTTACGTGTGCCCTGGTATTGGACGTTCTCTTGCCCATATGCAGAGACAGACAGGAGTAGAACAAGTCCGATTCCAACCACCATCTTTCTGTAACGAGGCTTGTTGTAAAGTCTTGGTTGGCCCACAGCTGATGAGGCCGAAGAGCTAACTTTTCCTTAAATATATAGCCGCCATCCACGTCAATATAACATGCCATGTGTATAGAATCCCATGTTCGCTATTTGTAAAGGAAATCCTATGGTTTCAATCAGAACATCGCCCGATGAGGCCGTGGGTTAATTACCTTGACCCCTGAGACGTCGTTCACTGCAGTCGAGGACTTAAGATGCCACATATGCAATTATTAACGCTCGAGTGCAGAGATTGCACCGGGAACCTCCTTCTTGTAGGTGGCTATGGCAACTGAGTGTTGATTTCACTTGGCCTCATGGTATTTCCTCACGTGTAATAGGTAAATAAAACAATTAATGAAGCTGAAGCCGTGAGTCACCCCTGTACGCAAAATGACTCTTGGATCTATTTCTTTCTTTTATTTAATCGAAGGGAATCTGACTCGCTAAGGACATGGCGCACAAAATTTGGAAACAATTGATATAAGCAGGGGTCAGTACAAGGGAAACGTCATCTCGGCGTTGTTACTTTGTCCCCGACTTACAGCTGATTGATGCCTCAATTCAACTGGGCTGCGTTTCACAACGCGATCTTGTAGCGCTGATGTGATCGTAACTCCAATACTTTAACACAGGCTTACGACATCCGTAAGTCTAAGATCGTTTTGCGTTAAGGGGCCCTAGAACCCGTTCCCAAAAGCGATCTTCGTGGACGACGATCGTTTGCCAGTGTCAGAGATTGGAATTAGGCCCGTCTTTGCACTAATACTGCTTCGTGGACGACGATCGTTAGCCAGTGTCAGAGAATGGACTTAGGCCCGTCTTTGCACTAACACCGCTTTGTGGAACTAGTTCTCGACCCCGTTCCAAAAAGCACCCTCATTGCGACGACTATCGTAAATGAAAGATGGAATGGGGAGTTGCGATAGTTTGAACACTAAATAGATTTTAAATGTCTGCTGTCATTATATACATGGAAGGATTAGAACAGTTGCATGCAGACAGCATATGTGGCATTGCGCGATGTGTGCATACAATACCCTGGTGCCGACACGTCCAATGATGTATACCTGTCCAGACACCCTGCACGCTGCCTACCTGGACCGACACGTCCAATGATGTATACCTGTACAGACACCCTGCACGCTGTCTACCTGGACCGACACGTCCAATGATGTATACCTGTACAGACACCCTGCACGCTGTCTACCTGGTGCCGACACGTCCAATGATGTATACCTGTCCAGACACCCTGCACGCTGTCTACCTGGACCGACACGTCCAATGATGTATACCTGTCCAGACACCCTGCACGCTGTCTGCCTGGACCGACACGTCCAATGATGTATACCTGTCCAGACACCCTGCACGCTGTCTACCTGGACCGACACGTCCAATGATGTATACTTGTACAGACACCCTGCACGCTGCCTACCTGGACCGGCACGTCCAATGATGTATACCTGTACAGACACCCTGCACGCTGTCTACCTGGACCGACACGTCCAGTGATGTATACCTGTCCAGACACCCTGCACGCTGTCTACCTGGACCGACACGTCCAATGATGTATACCTGTACAGACACCCTGCACGCTGTCTACCTGGACCGACACGTCCAATGATGTATACCTGTCCAGACACCCTGCACGCTGTCTACCTGGACCGACACGTCCAATGATGTATACCTGTACAGACACCCTGCACGCTGTCTACCTGGACAGACACGTCCAATGATGTATACCTGTACAGACACCCTGCACGCTGCCTACCTGGACCGACACGTCCAATGATGTATACCTGTACAGACACCCTGCACGCTGTCTACCTGGACCGACACGTCCAATGATGTATACCTGTCTAGACACCCTGCACGCTGTCTACCTGGACCGACACGTCCAGTGATGTATACCTGTACAGACACCCTGCACGCTGTCTACCTGGACCGACACGTCCAATGATGTATACCTGTACAGACACCCTGCACGCTGCCTACCTGGACCGACACGTCCAATGATGTATACCTGTACAGACACCCTGCACGCTGCCTACCTGGACCGACACGTCCAATGATGTATACCTGTACAGACACCCTGCACGCTGTCTACCTGGACCGACACGTCCAATGATGTATACCTGTCCAGACACCCTGCACGCTGTCTACCTGGACCGACACGTCCAATGATGTATACCTGTACAGACACCCTGCACGCTGTCTACCTGGACCGACACGTCCAATGATGTATACCTGTCCAGACACCCTGCACGCTGTCTACCTGGACCGACACGTCCAATGATGTATACCTGTACAGACACCCTGCACGCTGTCTACCTGGACCGACACGTCCAATGATGTATACCTGTCCAGACACCCTGCAAGCTGTCTGCCTGGACCGACACGTCCAATGATGTATACCTGTCCAGACACCCTGCACGCTGTCTGCCTGGACCGACACGTCCAATGATGTATACCTGTACAGACACCCTGCACGCTGTCTACCTGGACCGACACGTCCAGTGATGTATACCTGTACAGACACCCTGCACGATGTCTACCTGGACCGACACGTCCAATGATGTATACCTGTCCAGACACCCTGCACGCTGTCTACCTGGACCGACACGTCCAGTGATGTATACCTGTACAGACACCCTGCACGCTGTCTACCTGGACCGACACGTCCAGTGATGTATACCTGTACAGACACCCTGCACGCTGTCTACCTGGACCGACACGTCCAATGATGTATACCTGTCCAGACACCCTGCACGCTGTCTACCTGGACCGACACGTCCAGTGATGTATACCTGTACAGACACCCTGCACGCTGTCTACCTGGACCGACACGTCCAATGATGTATACCTGTACAGACACCCTGCACGCTGTCTACCTGGACCGACACGTCCAATGATGTATACCTGTCCAGACACCCTGCACGCTGTCTACCTGGACCGACACGTCCAATGATGTATACCTGTACAGACACCCTGCACGCTGTCTGCCTGGACCGACACTTCCAATGATGTATACCTGTACAGACACCCTGCACGCTGTCTACCTGGACCGACACGTCCAATGATGTATACCTGTACAGACACCCTGCACGCTGTCTACCTGGACCGACACGTCCAGTGATGTATACCTGTACAGACACCCTGCACGCTGTCTACCTGGACCGACACGTCCAGTGATGTATACCTGTCCAGACACCCTGCACGCTGTCTACCTGGACCGACACGTCCAGTGATGTATACCTGTCCAGACACCCTGCACGCTGTCTACCTGGACCGACACGTCCAATACTATCTACCTCTAGTGACACTCTGCAAGCTGTATTGACCCGTTATGTACCTTTGCTGACACGTGACATGCTATATACCTGTACTGACAAGTGGGTTGCTATATACCTGTACTGACACGTTACATGCTATATACCTGTACTGACACGTTACATGCTATATACCTGTACTGACACGTTACATGCTATAACACTGTACTGACAAGTGGGTTGTTATAAACCTGTACTGACACGTGACATGCTATATACCTGTACTGACAAGTGGGTTGCTATATCCCTGTACTGGCACGTGACATGCTGTAGCACCGTACTGACACGTGACATGCTATATCCCTGTACTGACACGTGACATGCTGTAGCACCGTACTGACACATGACATGCTATATCCCTGTACTGACACGTGACATGCTATATCCCTGTACTGACACATGACATGCTGTAGCACCGTACTGACACGTGACATGCTATATCCCTGTACTGACACGTGACATCCTATATCCCTGTACTGACACGTGACATGCTGTAGCACCGTACTGACACATGACATGCTATATACCTGTACTGACACGTGACATCCTATATACCTGTACTGACACGTGACATCCTATATACCTGTACTGACACGTGACATCCTATATACCTGTACTGACACGTGACATGCTATATTCCTGTACTGACACGTGGCATGCTATATACCTGTACTGACACGTGACATGCTGTAGCACCGTACTGACACGTGGCATGCTATATACCTGTACTGACACGTGACATGCTATATACCTGTACTGACACGTGACATGCTGTAGCACCGTACTGACACGTGACATGCTATATTCCTGTACTGACACGTGACATGCTGTAGCACCGTACTGACACGTGGCATGATATATACCTGTACTGACACGTGACATGCTGTAGCACCGTACTGACACGTGACATGCTATATACCTGTACTGACACGTGACATGCTGTAGCACCGTACTGACACGTGACATGCTATATACCTGTACTGACACGTGACATGCTATATACCTGTACTGACACGTGACATGCTGTAGCACCGTACTGACACGTGACATGCTATATACCTGTACTGACACGTGACATGCTATATACCTGTACTGACACGTGACATCCTATATACCTGTACTGACACGTGACATCCTATATACCTGTACTGACACGTGACATCCTATATACCTGTACTGACACGTGACATCCTATATACCTGTACTGACACGTGACATGCTATATTCCTGTACTGACACGTGGCATGCTATATACCTGTACTGACACGTGACATGCTGTAGCACCGTACTGACACGTGACATCCTATATACCTGTACTGACACGTGGCATGCTATATACCTGTACTGACACGTGACATGCTATATACCTGTACTGACACGTGACATGCTGTAGCACCGTACTGAAACGTAGCATGCTATATACCTGTACTGACACGTGACATGCTGTAGCACCGTACTGACACGTGGCATGATATATACCTGTACTGACACGTGACATGCTGTAGCACCGTACTGACACGTGACATGCTATATACCTGTACTGACACGTGACATGCTGTAGCACCGTACTGACACGTGACATGCTATATACCTGTACTGACACGTGACATGCTGTAGCACCGTACTGACACGTGGCATGATATATACCTGTACTGACACGTGACATGCTATATACCTGTACTGACACGTGACATGCTGTAGCACCGTACTGACAC